TAATTTAACACTTACCATGAGTTCAACTTATTAAAACTTACTGTGTGGCTCAGATCTTGTAACTCGTATTTGAAAGAGCATTCTCCAGTCTTCTGGGGGTTAAAGACTGTGAAAGTGGAACTACTTATTTCTTTAGGGAATTGAATAAGAGCTTTGAATTCAGTTCATAAAGAAGTGTGTATTGAGCTCCAATAATGTGTTAAGTCACTACTATGCTCAGCACTGAAGTCCCAGAGATAAATAAGGCCTGATTTCCTCCCTCAGTGTAGATAAGATTATGTCAGCTCTCTGTAGCATACCTGATATTACAGTCAAGCACACGTTTCAATGGATGCAGAGAGAAAGGTGCTTGGGCCAGTGGTCATGACACTAGAGTAGAAGGTTAAGGGATGCAAATGCATCATCAGCTTAAGCATTCACAGTTGAGGGTAGAGCAATCTGGATGTCAAGAGAGAAAACAGAGACAGAGACAGGCATGAGCAAAGACAGAAGAGATGGACAAACAGCATGCACGGCGGAGGGTTATAACGAGCTAGGGATAGTGAAGAGCAGACCTGGAGACTTCTGGTTAACAGCATGGGCTCGAGAGCCAGACTGGCTCACACCCAGCGCAATTCCATGCATCCTGAACTGTGGTCAGTCACTTAATCCTCTCGTGCCTCAATTTTTTTTTTTTATAAAATGGAAATGAAGATGGTAATAGGATTATCCCTGAAGGGTAATTCCAAGATTAAATGTGCCAGATGCTTATACAAGCAACTGGCATGTAGTAAGCACACAATAAAATATGTCATCATTTTTAAACTATGAGGGGAAGAGAGCCACGGCACCATCTTCAAAAAATCAACCCTTGGGAGTCTGAGATTTGCAAAGGTTAACCACTATATATAAAAATAGATTTTAAAAATTCCTTCTGAATAGCACAGGGAACTACATTCAATACCTTGTAATAACCTTTAATGAGGAAGAATATGAAAACAAATATATGTGTGTATATGCATGACTGGGAACACTGTGCTGTACACTGGAAATTGACACATTATAACTGACCACACTTCAATTAAAAAAAATAAAAATTAAAAATTAAAAATTAAAAAAAAAAAAAATCAACCGTTGAAACGAACTCTATCCCTAACCTCAACCTGCAGTGTCACAAATGACAAGAGATGGGCAAAAGAATCAGGGCTGACAACGTGAATGTATCTGCAAAGCTCCATCACCACGTAGATACATGACAACAGTTCAGTAGCATCAACTCTCCTTACGCAGCATTCACCTCTGTACTTTGATTTTGAAGATGACAGCTTTTGTGCTTTGTATCTGTAGTGGCTGGCATATTGCCAATCAAAAATAACTGAGTCAAGGACATTGTGTTTCAAACTTACAATGCAATATAGACTTCCTGTTAAAAGGCAAGTTCTCCATTTCAAATTGTTGACTCAGAAAATACTTCAAAAAGAATTTCAGAAGAATGTTTAAATTTAGCATGCTGAGAAAGACCAATCTTAAAATACTGTTTGGCTTTGTGCCCATAACATTTTCTTTTTATCCCTTGTTAGTATTTGTCTTCTATGATAAGAAGATAAGTGACAGTAATCACATTAGTCTCCTTAACACTTCAAATTTTACCTAAATGAACAGTTTTGTTTTTATCCTCACCAGTTAAAGATGGCCTTTCATTTCCTGGCTAATTTTCAGAAAGTGCTTATGCAAGAACCAGTGATATTTCCAAGCACTGTTTTACCTCTTCAGTCATCATCTGGCCTTTCTCCCCACTTTCCTTTGAATCATCATTTTTAATCTTACATACACACACACACACACACACACACACACATAAAGGAGATTATCTGAAGACAAGCCCACTCTAAGTTTTGTAATCAGACCTTATAACTACTTAAGGATATATTTTGAGTCTCTGCTTTATTTGTGATTTTAAAGATCCCTACCTCACACACAGCCCAGAGAATTCATTTCACGGGATCTCTCAGAGCAAAGAATCTAGACAAGTTCTCATACCAGCCTGCCACCACCTGATCCCCTTAACTCCATCATCTTTCCGCCTGGCAAAGATGTCCCCAGCTTCATTTCCACAGTTCGTGAAGCCAGAGCACAACACTGATACTGGAATTGTAAAGTATGCCAAGTTTGGATCTGAGGTCGATTTAGGTTCCAGTTTAGGTAGATCCAATCTTGGGTATCAGTGGAGCTGGAGATCTCTCCTGAGTAACATGGTTTCTCAAGCAGTCTCAACCCACTCACCTGCACAACAGTAAGCTCATTTCACATGATCCGTAACAGAGTACCATTTTAATAAGGCAAACTAGCAAAGTGATAAAGAGTTAGAGAAAATCACTCCTGGACGCTAATCCTAGTCCACTATTTACTAAATATGTTGCTTTAGGCAATTAGCTCACACCCTCTGGGACTGAGTTTCTTACAGATGGCAGAGAATGTCATCTCCCTCCTACAGCTTTTATTCCATAAATAAGGAGACATTCAGAGTGCTTAACCTAGGGAGGGGCACGATAGGGGAAGGGGATTAAGAGGTATAAACTACTAGATATAAAATAAATAAGATACAAAAAAAGTAATATACAGCACAGGAAATAGAGCCAATATTTTATAACTTGAAATGCAGTATAATCATAAAAATATTGAATCACTATGTTGTACACCTGAAGCTAACATAATACAGTAAATCAAATACATTTCGATTAAACAACAAAGAAACAGAGCGCTTAACACAGGGCCCGCCATTGGTGCACTCCCAGTAACTAGGAACTACTCACGCACTGTGTGATGAGAAAGTCATACGTGCAGATAACCCAAGGAGCTATCGAGGAGCTGAACCTATTTCACGGTGAATACCTAAAGGTGAACTAGTGCATGGGATTCTTACTTGAGGTCTGATGTTGTGTTGGTGTTTTACAAGAGAAAGGAAAAGCCATAGACAGGAGAGGGCCAGGAGGAAGAGGCTCCTTCAATAGCTTGTCTAGAGCTTCTGCCAGATGGTTGCTCCTAAGCTAAAGGTATTACTCTTAAAGAGACTAATGCTCAACAATCTCATGCATACATAAGTACAATTCTATTCCTGAGGTTGGCCAGGAAGAGAAGTGTCCAGGAAAGGATATTCTTAAAATGTCATTTGAAGCCTATGTATCAAGCTCACAGTCATTACTAGCAGGCAGAATTAGGTTGAGGGACCAGCTGATCTTTGTCTGGCTTGTCTGGCCACAACTCTTCCTTCTTTCAAGTGTACAAGGAAAAGCATGAGTCATAGGATACT